AAATGTAAAAATGTAAAAATGTAAATAAAGTAATAACCGTTACGCTGCTGCGACATATTGAAATTAAGAATTTTGGATGTACTATGTATATCGCGAAAAAACAAGCTCAACCAATAGCAGCGCTTATTACAGCCCTATGTTCTTGATTGACCTAGGAAAAAAAATCACGCGTGCCGCGTTGTGCTGTAATCAGTGCAGACTACAAGTTCCGTTTCCTGTTCTCAATTTTAGCTGTTCATGTGTTTCGTGTGCAATCTGTAACTTATGCTTGTCTAATCTTGCTGTTTCTTTCGTCTAAATATCTTAAATTATATATTATCATAGTATTGCAATGGCTTCCAACTTTAGTGCTAGGCCAATTGGTACAGATGGCACAGACTTTATGCACCGAGAAAGGATAGCTTCTCATTATCAAATCAGGCAAGTATGCTGCTGACACTGCCGGTCTATCTCTACCGCAGTACCGGTCTAGCCCCTTCGCTCGGTTTTGGTATACGGTATAGCTCATAGGGCCCAAGGATAGAGAACATGGGTCCCAATAAAACCAATGTGCCTAACCCTAACCCTAATTCTAACCCTAACCCTAACCCTAATCCTAACCCTAACCCTAACCATAACCCTAACCTATATTAGTGATATTGATATTGATATTGATATTGATATTGATATTGATATAATATTATCTTTATATTGATGTAAATGACATTGGTTTTATTGGGACCCATGTTCTCTATCCTTGAACCGCTCATAGGGTCTATGTCCCCCAGGGTACTGCCGGAACGTACCCTGGGTACGGTCCGGTATACCAGAACGTACCCTGGTCACTATTTGATATGGTTAGGGTTAGGCTTAGGGTTAGGGAGTAGGCGTAGGCGACTCCCCAGACTCGTTAGTGGAGTAGGCGAGGTACGGTCCGGCATATTAGATTATATAGATAGTACCAAGGTACGTTCCGGTATACCGGACCGTACCCAGGGTACGTTCCGGCAGTACCCCGGGGGACATAGACCCTCTCAGCTACGGTATACCGTATATATATAGTACATTGGGCTTCTAAGACTAATTAGTACATGGTGGTAACCATGTTAGATTTTAGTTGAAGTTACCATGTAACTTCGTCACAGGCACGTGACTATAGTATAGCCTATAGGCCTACTCAGTACTCTATATAGGCACTAGATTGAAAATTATTAGACTTATCACTATCAGAGTTATGATTAAGGTTTGTTATAATGTATGCTATCTGCATCTATCATAGCAATTTGTGTTATTTTTGAGTAACTAAATAGTTATTATTTAGTGTATCATGTGTGTCCCACATCAGCCTCAGGGTATTACTATTAGTATTATGATTTATAGGTATACTATTAGCCACGAATGAGTATTGTGGGAGTGCAGAAAAAATATTTGGGAGTGCAATTTTACAAATATACACGTCTTTAGATCAATATTTTAGGCCCTGCTACACATTTTTGCTTGTGCAGTTTCAAAACTGACCGTGCAAATCACAGCTGCTTGGCTCGCTGGCTAATACATGGTCCCACATTCCTTTAATTTAAAGCTAAAACTATTTTGTGACATTCTTTTAATGTCTCTGATGTGCGTTAGTTGCCTAATTGGTATGCCATAATTTCTAGTTGTGTTTACTGTTTACAATCCGAACATGGTAATGAAAAGTTTTCAAAGCTTGGTGCACTGTATACATATCTGAATTGATCAAGTTTACCTGCGTGTTGGGACCTCTTACGACACACGTAATTGACTCTAATTAGCAATTTGGAATGAATTGTCCTACTGCCTGACATGCCTTCTAAGATTTCTATGGAGATATTAATATTATTAATATATAATATTAATATATAATATTATAGCTTCTCTGCTCTCTCGCTCTCTCTCTCTCTCTCTGTGTCTTTCTCTCTCTCTTTCTTTCTCTCTCTCTCTCTCTCTCTCTCTCTTCTCTACTCTCTTACTA